ACGAGGGCAGCCACAAAATAATCAGAGTCCATCAGAAACCATGCAAAGAATCAGGGATGTGGTTGCCTGTGGCTGGGCCTGATGGCTCCGGATGTCTCTATAGTCCAATGACAAACATCTGGCAAAGGTGTTCCCCCATTGATACTGGCTGGTGGTGAGAGCAATTTCCATGTGACCACACACTGTGACCCAACCCACGAGCAGAAGCTAGGGTGCCCAAGCAGGAGTTAGCCAAGAGGGCTGCAAAGCCCCAAGTCAACGGACTGGCACCTGGGTTCTCCCTCCTGCTGCCACCTGGACATCCCAACTTCCCCAGCTGAAATCCTTGTGGGCAGCGAACAAGGAACTGAGCTGCACAAGTCATCTTCAGTCTGACTGGAAATGCAACCAGCCCACAGGGCCCAGCACACCTTCGTTACCTTGCCTTTTCACATGCTGCTGGTTAGATGTGGTGGCCACAGCAAGATAGGGGCTGGAAATGGGGCCTGGGCCTGCCTCAGGGAACACATCAGAGACATTTCCTGTTAAATCAATACCGCCAACGCATTCATGTGGGGCAACGTGCGACTAGTTCAAAATGGGAGATGCCTCCATGCAATCGGCCTTAAGAACATGCCGCAAGTCCCATTTTTAAGGGCTGGCTCCCTCCACCTGTGACATCCGAGCCCCTCTAAGATGCCAACTCAGTCTCTCACCCTTTCCCCATCAACAGGAAAGCTTACTGACCTGTTGTGTGAGCTGCCACTAATTCCATGGCGTTTTCCCCCAGTGAACAGATGTTGAACCCCAGACAAATCTCCTGGACCTGATGCCTGGCTCCTCTGGGCACAGTGCTCACACGGGAACTTCTCCCCACACTGCCTGGCTAAGATGGGGCTGGCCAGCTGGGTCTTAGCACGCGGCCTCTGCTCTTCTCTTCAGTTTCATAGTTGGTAGTGTCGGAAGGGACCTGAGCAGATCATCAAGTCCGACCCCCGGCAAGGCGTTCATCCAGCCTCCTTTTGAAGACACCCAGGGAAGGAGCCAGCATCACTTCGCTTGGAAGTTGGCTCCAGATCCTAGCCGCCCTGGCCGTGAAGTAGCACCTCCTGACGGCTAGTCTGCATCTGCTCTCTGTCAACTTGTGGCTGTTGTTCCTTGTTACTCCCAGTAGCGCTTGGGGTAACAGGGACCCCCACTGCCTGCTGGTCTCCCTTGGCCAGTTTATAGATGGCCACTAGATCCCCCTCAGCCTTCTCTTGTGGAGGCTGAACAGGTTCAGGTCCCGTCGCCTCTCCTCATAGGGCCTGCCCTACTGCCCCCTGACCATGTGAGTGGCCTCGTCTGGACCCTCTCCATGTTGTCCACATCCCTCCTGAAGTGCGGTGCCCAGAACTGGACGCGGTACTCCAGCTGCGGCCTGACCAGTGCCGCATAGAGGGGGAGGTTCATCTCCTTGGACCTGCTCAAGATGCAGCTGTGGATGCACGACAAGGTACGGTTGGCCTTCCTGACTGCTTCCCCACATTGCCGACTCATGTTCACCTTGGAGTCAACGATGACTCCAAGATCCTTTTCTGCCTCTGCACTGATGAGAAGGGAGTTCCCCAACCTGTAGGTATGGTGCCGGTTCTTCCCCCCCGGGTGCAGCACCTTGCACTTGTTGGTGTTGAATCCCATCCTATTCTCATCCATCCATCCCTGTAACCTGTCTAGGTCTGACTGCAGCCTATTCCTCCCATCTAGTGTGCCCACATCCCCCCACATCTGAGCGTTGTCTGTAAATTTGAACAGGGTGCTTTTTACCCCCTCGTCCAAGTCGCTGATGAATATGTTGAACAGTACAGGCCTGAGCCCTAGGGGACCCCACCGCCCACATCCCTCCAGGTTGAATACGACCCATCCACCACCACTCTCTGGGTGTGGCCCATTTGACTGTGTGGGTGTTGACACCACAGTCCCCTGTTTTTTAATGAGAACGGGGTGAGAGTGTCGAAGGCCTTCCAAAAGTCCAGAAAGACTACATCCACCGCGACACTTGAATCCAAGGATTTTGTGACCTGGTCGTAAAAGGCCACCAGGTTGGTCTGACAGGACCTGCCTCAAACGAACCCATGTTGGTTGCCTCTAAAGCACACAGTCCCCTGCTTGCCCCTCGCAGATGTGCACCTGGATAATTTTCTCAAAAAGCTTGCTCAGGAGCAAGGTAAGACTAACAGGCCTATAATTTCCCAGGTCCTTCTTCCTCCCTTTTTTGAAGATGGGAACCACATTGGCCCTCTTCCAGTCCTCTGGCACCACACCAGAGCACCACAAGTGCTTGTACAGCCATGCCAGGGGTCCCGCAATGACCTCAGCCAATTCCCTCAGCACTCGGGGGGTGGAGATCATCCGGACCAGCTGATTTGAATACATCCAGTCCCTCCAGACGCTCCCTGACTAGATCCTCACTGACCCTTGGCCTGGCTGCGCCTCCCCTGGGACCATCGGGGATCCTGGTGGGGGAGGGATGACCTGGTCTCCCCCCCCTTACAATTTATTCAGCTTTGTATCAGGATGGACACTTGCTTCATTTATTGTAAACCAATCAAGCCCAAGTGGTGAGAAAAAAAAAACAGAGCAGAAATAGTTTTAAAACCGTAGTTAAAAAACAGGTCTTACCATTGTTCGACGGGCAGCGTGAGGGGAGCAAACAAAGTTAGAGAGTGGGAATGAGGAATTATTACCGAGACCAAGCGTCCTGCTTCAGCGTGCGTCACTGCAAAAGTGGGGACCATTAGACCAGGACCCAGTTGCAGAACCCAACTGTATGAAGCACGCGGCTGGCTCGTCCTGCCTACGTGGAGCCACACATTCAATGCGTCATGGAGAGACACCATCGTCATGACTTGTCCTGCTATCCACAATGTAAGATCCTGTTCTAAATTTTCTAGAAAAGACAATAGCCCTACTGGGCTGATCTCCAAAAACAGTTATTCAGGGGAGCAGCTGAGACCCCATCACACATAACAGACCTACTCAGAGTAAGGTCGACTTGTCTGAGCAACCACTGGACAAGCCAGGACACTGCAAAGTCAAAATTTCTCCAGCCTGGAACTACAGGGAAAAGAGATTTGGCCAAAGCTTCTTGTTTTAGTGTTTAATTACATTTTATTGGGAGCCAAAAAAAAAAAAATAAATAAATTTGTTGGTTTTAAAAAAAGAATCCTAACGATGAACAAAATGAGCCGCTTTAAGAGTTCAAGCCAAAGACGACGGAACAAGAAGAGTTATTGAGCCAAATCATTTTTGCACAGTCCAGAATAGCACAATACAGGGGTGGAAAACCAGCCCGGCTCCCCTCCCCACAAAATCCATTTCTTTTAAAGAAAGAACGATCCTTCGTCACATATCATTGATGTTTATTTCAAGACATGCCACGTCAAAAAAAAAAATTGCCTTTAATATTGCATTATAAAAGCACTTTACATCTCAGCCTGCCTTTAACGGTAAGTTATTGGTATGCAGAGTTATTCAAAACCCAGCTCAGGCTGTGGTTTGATATTCAGCTCCTGAATGGAGATGTCATCTACCCATTTCCAGGCGAGAGGACACCTGCCTGCTTCTCCCCCTCCCCTTCACAGGTGGTCTTAGGCAGGGGGTGGTGGGTAAGTGAGGGAGAGTCTGAATGTGTTGTAATTAGGCTTTGTTCATTAAGTAATGCTCACAGCGGAGACTTGAGCAATCTTTCCTGCACTTGTAACTCAGCAACACTCACCCTGCAAACAATGTATTTACAAGTGTGTTTATTAACTTACACAGCAATTTCACAATGACTAGTCAAGATTAAAAGGGTGCAACTCCTAGTGTGTTTGTTCCTCAGTGTTTCTCAGGTAGCTACAACTTGCAACGTTGGCAAAGCTCTAAACAGACTTCTCGGCCAAAAACAAAAACCACTGAAAATACTAATAAAAAAAAAAAAGCATAGAAATAAATATCACCTAAGAAGAACGGTTAATTGGAGCTTAGTTAAATATAAAACTAAATTACTAGTTTTTAACCAAACTATACAGAGCTAGTGGAGGAAAAAAAAAAACCATAACCCACTAAACCAGTCTGGAAGACCCAACATAAAAAAATGCTAAACAATAAAAAGGCATAAAATCTGCATCGTTGTGTGTTTGTTTTCATCCTATGCAATGCCCTTCCTTCTCCCCAGCATCTCTCTTGTGTCTGTTCCTACGAATAAACCGTTCCCCCCACCACGCCATTACCTAGGACCATGACGAGGAAAAGCAGATGCCACTCCTTCAACCATCTCCTCGCCTCCCCATCCATACACTGTACATTATTGTATATCTATTAGTTAAACCAAAGGCTAGTCCATATTTCAGCTCAATGTAGAGATCCTGATCCACCCCAGCAAATAGTAGTGCCAGTGCCACACTGACTTCAAATCTCCCCTATCTTTAAAAACACCGTTTTCTCCCCACGACTGAAACGCCGTGTTCCAGTCTCTCAAGTAATAATTTACTTTATTGGAGTCCTACATAAAAGGGAGGGGATGGGACAACAAGCTTTTAAAACTCAGTATGCAGCCAAAACATCTGGTTCCTCACGTCCTGCGTGTTTCGGTAATGCGGGTGGGCTCCCCTCCCCCCAAATGCCACTTATCCCGTGGGAAGTGGGAAATGCGGTCGTGACTCAATTAAAGAGCCAGTCGTCTTTCAAGCTGCAACACCCTGCTAATGCCTGGGCAGGCGGGTAAAAAACAGGTCAGGGCATCTCCCTTCTAGAGAGTGAGAATTCGTTTCTTTTGGGGGGGGGGGGGGGGGGGTTTCTTTTTTTTTTTTTTTTTT